CACCTCTAACCTTAGGCACTTCCTTGACCTAATTGTGTTACACGTTCAGTAAAACTGACTAAAACTATGAAACAAAGCTCCAGTGTGTGACGTGTCGTCTGATGTTGTGACCGGTCTCTTGGCCTACATTGTTTACTATTTTTTCCCCCTCTGTTCTTCCCGACTGTTCTTATTGTTTTGTTTTTTAAACTCACCAGATAACTGTCATTGTGTCCATGTGCTTCTCTTTGTACTAAAAAAAGCACTCAACAACAAAACAACAACGAATAAACCGAATCATGATCTTAATTGTATCATCATGTTACTCCGTACTCAAACCAATAAACAAATGACCGTTATTGAGTTGACGTGCTTTTCTGTTTTCAAACAAACAAACAAATGACCTGTGGATGGTTGGCTGATGCACTGGTATTGTGTATACCTTCTTTCCTATCAAACATATATCGTCCGTATCTCCCCTTCTTCTTTTTCATGTTTCTTACTCTCTTGGAACACCTCAAATCTTCTGGCGCTCATATGACTTTACTTTATGCAGTTGAGAGCGCCGTAAAACCTCTACTAAAACTTTAAAAAACTCTTATCATGGGTAATTGACGGGTGCTCTGGTGGGGTTTTCTTTTTCTGTCCTGTCTAGCATATTATGTCGTCTTTATCTCCCCTCCTTCTTTTTGTTTGTTACTCTCTTGTAACACCTCTAATCTTCTGGCGCTCATATGACCTTATGCAGTTGCGAGCGCCGTAAAACCTCTACTAAAACTAAAATTCTTATCGTCCAAATCTCTCCTCCTTCTTTTCTTTGTGCATGTTACTCTCTAGTAACGGCCCTAATCTTCGGCACTCACATGTACTATTTTGTTGCTAGTCCCGTTAAAAGTTTTACTAAAACTACCCTTCGCACCCCCCCCCCCCGCACACACACATTTGTATAAGACAGATACGATACTTTATTGATTCTCCTTTGTAAGAAATGCACAGTGTTCCTTCACCAGTTTCTGTAACACAAAACATGCATGAAAACATTCATGCATGTCACCTCATCGACGCATCACACTCTAGCTACGTTTCACATATACACCCCCCTTCCTTCCAAACTATCCTTGACACAAAATGTAAATATATGGGCATCATATCGACTTATCACATTGTCTGTCCCACATATATACACCCCTCCCCCACCCCACCCCCCACAAAAAAATACCCGTCACTCAAAATATGTATATTATTATATAATAATGTGGGCATCATATCAAACACATCACAGTTTCTCTCTGTCTCACAAATACACCCCCCCCCCCACAAAACCTGCGACATGACATAATATATACGTACATGGGCACCATGTCGACACATCACATTGTCTCTCTGTCTCACAAAACACCCACCTCCTCCCCCTCAAACAATACATGTGACACAACATATATATATATATATGTGCCATGTCGACGCATTATGCTCTTCCTCTGTCTCATCCGTACACTCCCTCTCCCACTTCCTCACTACTAGGTGGTTGGTAAGCGGGTGCGTTTTGTGCGGTCCACTCCTTTCCCTATTAGACATCTGTTGTCCTTATCACTCCTTTAAAAAAAAATGTTTGTAACTCTCTTGTAACACCTCAAATCGTCGGCACTTATATGAGCTATTTTTGTTGCAAGTGGCATAAAAAAACTTTTACTAAGACAACCGTAGATTGTTCAGGAAGCGTATTGTCTCAGTGTGTGTGGGCCTCTCTCTCTCTCTCTCTCTCTCTCTCTCTCTCTCTCTCTCTCTCTTTCTTTCTCTCTCTCTCTCTCTTTCTTTCTTTCCCTTTCCCTCACACAGCTGTCCGGAGATTCCCACTGACACAAGTTAAACTTTCCATCAATCTCTCTGAGTGGGGTGGTTGGCGGGTGATCGGGTGTAGTTTGCCCCTTCTTTCCTATCGGACATCCATAGTCCGTATCTCTCCGTTACTCTTAGCTAAAACTTTAGGAACACTTTCTGATTTTCGGCATGTGAGATGACCTATTTGTTTGCAAGTGCCGTTAAATTCTAATTAAAACTTATCTTAACAAAAAACGGAAAGAGATAGAGAAAGAAATAGAGATAGAAATAGAGGATAGAAATAGAGACAGAGATAGAGACAGAGATAGAGACAGAGATAGAGACAGAGATAGATAGAGATAGAGAATGAGATAAAGACAGAGACACAGCTAGAGATAGGAGAGGTGTGTGTGTCGGTATGGTGTGGTCATCTCATGTCCAGACCCGTCATGCCGCGCACCGACCAGGCGTGTCTAAGCCGTCAATCGCTCGTCACACCGGGAGGATTAGCGGCCGCGGGGACAATAGACCTGGGGTGGTCACACGCGATACGTAGCGCCGATATAAATATATATCTGGTGAGGTCTGGAGCGCTCCACAGAGTTAAGGAAAATACAGACGGTGTGGTCACACGCGATACGTAGCGCTGATATACCCTGGTGAGGTCTGGAGTCCTCCACAGAGTAAGGGAAAATACAGACGGGGTGGTCACACACGATACGTACCGTAGCGCCGATACATTATATCTGGTGATGTCTGGAGCCCACCACAGAGTCAGGGGAAATACAAACGGGGTGATCACACGTGATATGTAGTGCCGATATTTTCCCAGCTCACGTACAGAGCTAGGAGATATACGGACGGGGTGGTCGCACGAGATGTTTAGTGCCGATGTATACCCTGGTGAGGTCTGGAGACAGAGGATATACAGACAGGGCGGTGAGAGCACACGGGATATCTAGCGCCCGTCGACGCACGCTGACACCCCCTGATATGTCTTTCTGGAGCGGGCCACAGAGTTAGGGCGTGTACAGAAGGACAACATTTAGATATTTATAGCAGTTTAGATACATTCGCCGTCTTGGTAGGAATATCTGCTTATGTTTAGAGTGTCAGACCTGTCGTGTGATTTGTAACAGGCATATACGGTGACAATTAATGTTTTATTATATTTTTAAAATCCGTTTTGCTTCTATTTACTCAAACAAGCAAACAAAGCACGATCTGTCTGCGGTCCTCGCGTCTGTGGTCGCTAGCTCCACAACAGAGCAACATTCGCTTCTGCTGTGCCCCTATAATCCCCGCAAGCATTTCGCAGTCACACAAAGCTAAACGATATATACATATATATGTACATACATAATACAATACACAGACCGAAGCCGGACGATCGATTTACCAACAGGTCCTTGGCCCTATCGGCGGCTGGCTGTTAAAGTGCTCTAAGCCCGGAAAGCGAAATCGTTTTGGAGAGAGAGAGAGAGAGAGAAAATGGGATAGAGAGAATGGTGGAGAGAGAGAGAGAGAGAGAGAATGGGATAGAGAGAATGGTGGAGAGAGAGAGAAGAATGGGAGAGAGAGAAAGAGAGAGAGAGAATTTCAGAAAGAGAAAGAGGAAGAGAGAGAGAGAGAGAGAGAAAGAGAGAGAGAGAAAGAGAGAGAGAGAGAGAGATCTACATTATGTATCTTTTTTGTTTTATTCAACTTAATTTAGAATTGGAATTTCGACAAAATATTTCTGGAGCACATGTTACCTATACTACACCCTAAGAAACAGCTACTGAAAAAAGAAAAGAAAATGCAACATTTTTGGCTTAATATTATCAAAACAGCTGTCCAATGCTGTTTTTTTTCTCTGCCTCACGCATTTTCAAGCTATTTCACGTTCTGTCATTCTCATAGAAATTGGCATGTTTTCCAGTCTCGTCAGATATAGACGTTGAACAATAATTCTGCCGTTTCTGCCTCATCTATAACCTGACAGTGTTGAAAGGGATGTGTTTGTCCTATACAGTTGCCACATTACAGCTGTTTTTCATGTTGATGGGGGAGGGGGGGGGGGCCTGCGGTGGAAAACATACAGTTATTGTTACAGTGAGTACCGCTTTTTTTCTGCCTGAGCCTCTGTCTTCATTTTGTGCTTTGAAACTTCCACACTCACACATATACGTATACTTGGATCTATTTTCCACCTGCCTATCGTGTTCCTGTGTCTCTCTATGTCGTGTTTGGACTCTGTGGGGTAGCAGTTAGGTGCCTCATGGTTGCACGCAGATGACCTGAGTTTGATTCCCAAGTGGTGAGACATTTCTATCAAGTATCTGGGTCTTTCTCCTAGGATGTTGTATCTCTCTCAGCCCAGGTTGGCCCTGACAGGCAGGGGTGAAGTTCGCCTCCTAAATGATCTAAATTGTATCTAAGGGACTGTAAAACCCTCTTACAGTTCAGAAAAAAATAGTGTCTTGTCCTTTCTTTGTGTGGGTGGGAAGGCGCCACTGGTAGGTCCTACTCTTCTTTGCTTTCTCCCTGTTATTTCTGTCTGTGTGAGTGGTTGGAAGGTGCCACTGGCTGGTCCTACTTCTTTATTTCCCCCTTTTGTCTATCTGTCTATCCAGTATCTTGCTTTTCCAATCCACCTATGGCAGTGCTTCTCTTTACTCAAATAAACTTTGACAGAAAGTGAGCTCATGTGCTTGTTTCTCATTATAAGAAAGTCGCTGGGTTGGTGGTTTGTGGATGCTCTGGTGTGATTTGCTCCTTCTTTCCTATCAATCATCTATTGTACAGTATAGACTTTTCTTCTTTACTTTCCCTCTGGTTTTTTTACTCGCTTTTCCCCCAGCACTTAATGTTCAATCTTCTTGCCAGTATCTGTTGACCTCAAACACATATTGAATTTTTGTTTCTCTCTGATATCCTTACCCTCTCCCCACATTCTCTCACCCTCTCCCCATGTGTTCTCTGATGTCCCACCCTTTCCCTTTGTTCTCTCTAATCTCCTGGGTGGTTGATGGGGGCTCTGGTATTGTTTGCCTCTTCTTTCCTATCAAACAACTATCGTCTTTATCTCTCCTTTTTCTTTTTTTTGGTGCTTTACTCTTTAATTAGTAGTAACACCTCTAATCTTCGGCGCTTATATGACCTAATTGTATTGCAAGTGTTGTAAAACTTTTACTAAGACTCACCCGTTGTGTCCCCAGGACTATCTGGTCAAGTCCCGGGAGCTGGAGAGAGAGCTGAGGACAATGTCCATGGAGAAAACCAGAGCTGACTCACTGGTGGAGGTATGACACACACACAAACACACACACACACACACACACACAGACGCATACACTCACACACACACACACAGACACATACACTCACACACTCATACACATACACACACATACACACACACACACACGCACACACACACACATGCACAGAGAGAGAGAAAGAGCTGAGGACAATGTCCATGGAGAAAACCAGAGCTGACTCACTGGTGGAGGTACGATACACACAAACTTACGCAACACACACACAAACACACACACATACACACTCATGCACACACACATACACTCACATACTCACACATACTCACATGTGCACACTCACATACCTCTCGTGCAGAGAGAGAGAAAGAGAGAGAGAGAGAGAGAGAGAGAGAGAGAGAGAGAGAGAGA